TCGTTATGTCTTATGGAGTTGTATGGTTTGATTGTGTTTCATATAATTCTCAGTTTACTCCATGAACTTGCCAAGATTAAGAAACGGCAAAAGAGTTTGGGTGTTCTTAACAAGATTTCAGAACGTTGCAGAAGTTAGAAGAGCTTCACAATTCCGTTGTGACAGCATGCCCTAATTCAGAACTACGAACGATCCAATGACGATCCTTCGCGATGCAGCGGTCTCATGAAATAAGGAAACGTATTCGTGCTAGGAACACACGCGAATTTCGGACGAATGAATCTTGCTTGTATTTTGTAGATATAATAATACTTTGTTTCATAATAAACAATTTGTCAAGTGTCATTTATTTACTGGTAATAGTGCATGTTTCAGTCGGGCAAATCTTGATTAATATTTGATACGCCGATTTTGCATATTTCAGACACATCCAGAAATATCCTCCCGAATTTAAAGATTAATATCTCCGTGAATTTTTAAGTGAAATACAACTGTAATATATCAAAGTCTAAGTTAGTCCTTCCTCTATTTGATGCAAGTTATTTCTCTTAAAAAGCTATACTTGTTTAGATGTTATTACGAATCAAACAGGAGTACTTTTTTTTGGGCCACCCGGTATATATATATATATATATATATATATATATATATATATATATATATATATATATATATATATATATATATATATATATATATATATATATATGTATATATAATATTGGGTTGGGGGCCCGTTGCCCCCTGCGGTCACTAACTAGTTTAGCCCAGCCTTCCAACAACTCAAATCTATAGGGTCTAGGAAATGCAATCCACTGGAAAATGTTTAAAATCTAATAAGGTATTTACAACATTGTTTAGCATTAAAGAATATAGTTACTAGAATATCAAACCTCCCTTCTAAATTCCATGTTTTGCTTATATTTTAGAGAAAAGGGACTTTGACTTGTGGGGCCAAAATGGTTGAGTGGGGGGGCACCATGGGGGCTGGGGGGCGTTGCCCCCCAGTTATATAGTTAAAAAATGCCCTGATTTGCGTGGTGTGGTTATCCTCCGTCCGAGCCTCCGTCCAACGTTTTCAGTCCAGGATAAAATGTTTCCTTAAAATTCCTTAAAGCTGATCTACAATCCGATCTGCGCATGTGCACAAATGAGCCCACTTTTTATGATACAAACAGTTTAACTATGTTTTGAGTTCTTGAAATGCCTGATTGTTGTTTCTTGATAATTTATTATACTCTAGAAGCTTGAAAATATAAATAGTTGTCGAATAAAGCTCAATATTTTGGACACAAAAATGTAAACAAAGGTTTTGTTTACATACGGACTGTAGATCACCTTTAAAAAAATCCTCAAAAACCTAAATTCCTTAAAAAAATCCTTAAAACTCTTCAAAATTCCTAATTTTAAGGATAATTCCTTAAAAGTGAGAGGGCTGAGAGCACTGCTTATAACTTATTCACGATTCTCAAAATGGATAGACACTTATTATTAGTTACCAGGCTGTACAATAACTTTCACGGCCAACACTCCTCTGGTATACCGTTTAGCAATCGAGAGCAGACAAAAAGAATGCCAACAGCCTCTGGCCAACAGCCTACTAACCGTGATTCAGTCACCATATTGTGGGACAGTAATCATAGTACTTGTTTACTATTGCCAACTTTCAGGTCAAGCATTTCATTTGTTCCCATCAATTTTCAGGTCACGCATCCAGGATATCCTGAAGTCCCTGAAGATGATCCGACATGATCAAAAAAAGATGATCAAAAGAAAAAGATGATCAAAAATATATTAAGGAATATGCCATAAAAAGAAGGGTTCAGCCGAATAAACTGAAAAATTTACGGGTATACGCATTGATCAGTAAGTACAGTAATAATACCGTAACAAAGCTTGCAGCGCCTGTAATCATATACGGCAAACTTTTAGTCTGTGCATGATTCATTTTGCATATTTTGCAGACAAATTTTGAAAATTGTTCAGTTAAATCATCATCGTCATAAAACGTACTATGCACTCGAGGTCCCTTACCGCATTTGAGGAAGGGAAAATATGTATTGCTGTAAATATAGCCTAAAAAGGTCAAACAAGTTTTCCAAATCTAAGAAGATAAACCATTTATGGTCACACAGGAAATAGTTGTATATTGCAGTGTAAATAGAATCCATTCCAAAGCAGTCAAATTAAATGATCTGCATTTCGTTTGATTACTCGACTTGAGACAGAAGGATAGAACATTAATGTGCAGTACTAGTTCGCATGCAGGCCAGAATCCAGATAAGCGCGCGTGGTGTGATGCGCTGTCTAACTGAATACCATAATGACAGATTGCATAAAGTTACATAAAAAAATCGACGTAAACCGATAATTGCACTAATCCATAGTATCAAATTAAATTGTTTTAGATTTGTAAAAATCGCACTCATCAGTATTACTGTATTATATTTATAATGCATAGCCAAACGTCCGATCCTCCACAATCATTAAAATTCAATATCCAAAAAATGAAATCCAAAGACTTTTCAAACAAAATTTCAACAAATATGTACGTCCTTTGGAAATATCTGATACACCTCTACTATGATCGACGTTTTTGCCCGTCAGCCAAAAAAATAGAACAGCGTGTGACTCTTGACTTGATTCTTGAATAATGAATAGTAAAGGTTGGTTGGGTAGGGGACGTACCAGAGAAAGTTGATTTTAGGGGGGAGGGGGTTCTGTGGGGGCACGTCTCCTGGCAGATCACCGTACCAGCATGAGTTGAAAAATACTCATACTTGCCTTCGTAGAAGACACCGTCGTAGATCTGAATTCCTCAGCCGTCAATTAGATGTCATATATGAATATATGCCCCCCGTATATAAGCCCCCCGAATATAAGTCCCCTAATTAATATAAGCCCAGTATCGCTGCTTAATACATGTTTATTTTCCTGACTTGTTTTATGTCTGACTTGTTTATTACTAACACAAAAGATCATCCATGTATAAGCCCCCCTCCCCGTATATAAGCCCCCCCTTGTATAAGCCCATCAAAAATCGCTTATGAAAGTATATAAGCCCAGGGCTTATAGTCGGAGGTTTACGGTACGTTCGGAAGGAATGAACAAGTTATTCCCGGCCGGAGTGGCAGAGGTTTTGGGTTATTCTATCTAGTTAACTAGAATACCTGTCCACTTTTCCTTTTACCCACAAAACGAAACACTGCAGGGATCGTTTAAAAAACATTAACGGTTTGTGCCACTGGCCCACTGTAGATACTTCCAATAATAAGAAAGTTTTGGATTGAATGGGATGCAACTACCTGAAAAATACAAGATCTTCGATCGACGTTTCGAGCGAAGGCCCTACGTTCGTTGGAAAGTTAGTAGGGCTTTGTAAGGTGCTCTTTCGTAGTTCCCCTTTTACTTTTCAGATAGTTTTATCTCTATCAAGGCCCAAGCTTTCTGAATAAAGTTACGCTGGATGAAATCGCTTTATATAATAACTACAGTGAAACACGCACTTTGATTGGTTAATAGTCGTGCATGCAGGATCAGGCTATCCTGCGCGAGGAATTATAATGCCTTCGAACCATTCGGTATTCCTTTAAGTTATATGATAATTTCGATCAAATCTGGTTGGTTATATGGATATCGAGCGGTGAACGAATGCAACTGGCGGAATGTATAAATTCGTGCGGAACATGAGAAAAAGCAAATTTCATTGAGACATTTTACCTTTATTCTTTAACTCTTTATAAGCCCGGTCAACGAGGATGAGGAGTCATAAGAGCCAGTTGGCATTCACACATTGTTACAGGGGATATTTTAAGCTCTAGTTTATAGTTGGAGCGCCCATCAAATTTTTATTTTTTCTAACTTGGATAGCGGAATACATGATAGTGTTGCGTCTCTCCTTCCCTAACCCCGGCCGCAACGTCATTCCGCCTTTTACACCCACCTGTCAAAATGTACAGTTATTCTACAATTTAGCTTATTTTAAAACGGTTAGCCCAACGCTCAATATCTTGTTTCTGTAGAAAATGATATACGTGCGCTCAGGAGGTAAATTAAAGGCAAATTTAAATTATTATTATTAGCATGACAAAATTACTGGATGCTGATTGGTTGAGAGGAGTATAATACTCGCCCCGGCGGCTCGTCCAATTTTGGCAAAATTTGCAAACATCACTCGTACTATTAATCCCTAATTGTACTCGCCATCGCATGATTACCTATACAAACACGATACGCACAGTACTACTACTAATTTAATATTACCTCAACAAATACACCTTAAATCATAGACATCATACACAAAACTAAACAAGTCCTTTTTTTATTTTATATTGTTGCATGAAATTTAGCCTTAGCTCTCCCCCGCCCTTTAAGCCCGCAAATACTACTAAATGAAATTCGTCTATCACGCGACGTTACAGCTGACCTATGACGAAATATAATACTTGTTTTGGTTGATGAATAAAAACACGTAAATTTATTATTGGAGAGCTTTAGACACAGAATAAAGATCCACACAGAAGGGCGCGCTGGCCGCCATCTTCCTAGCCAGTCGATTACATTTTCTGGCCAATAAACGCGCTGTATTGGCTGGAGGCCCCGCCTTCTGGCCAGTCAACTGCATATTTTTGCATAAAAAATGCTGCACGTTGCCCGCTGAGTGGCCCTTCTGGTACTGATCTTTATTCTCTGCTTTAGATCTATAAGCCCGGATTTTCATCAGTGCTAATAATATAACCAGACGCGCCGTTTTCTACAAACCAAAACAAAGAGTTTATATTACCGGAGCGAGATCTTGGCAAACGGGATCACCTTCGCTCAGCTCTCCCGCTTTTATAGAAAAATCACATCAACTTGTGAACCATAAACATGATGGCAGAACTAGATTGCACCACACTTTACAAACATTTGATTTATTTTTGCTTATGACAATTTAATTTACATCATTAAACAAGTAGCTACTTTCTGTCCATAGCCATAGTCCAATGTTTCACATGTTCGCCTACCCAATTTAAGTATGAACCACGTTAATACAGTTTATTACATAATTATTTGCATAACCATAGTTATTTGCATAACCACAGGGCCAAAAGGAATAGGTTGACTGGTAAGGTAGTAGAGTCGCAATATCTACTTTTAATACCGCTGCAGGACTTTTAACATGGACTACGCACAAAACTGCGTTGATGACTTGCAAGAATTAAACTTACACTGACATACTTGAAGTTGAACTGCTCAATCCTATCCGAGAGGCAAGGAACCTTACAAGTCAATCATTCCAAAAGTCCCTTGCAGTAATCAGCAATTAAACAAATGTTTATGCAATATACTTCCTCAGTTTCATATGCAAATTGGCTATGAAATCAAATTGGCTGTATGAGATCATCTTTTATTACTCTTTGCTTTTGTGATAAAAGGTGTAAACTTCGCATGATCTCATATAGCCAATTTGCATACGAAACTGAGGAGATATTTTATACCGTTGACTGTGATCACGAAACTGAGGAGATTTAGAATGGTTAACGCTAAAAAGTTCCTGTGATCACAAAGGCTATAAAGTGCTATAAGCCTATAGACATGGCCAACTAGACTTTGCTTCTGTTCTGGACATCAATTAACTAGCTCTAGCCTTTATGTAATTAGCTTTTCTCACGACATTCCACCAGGCTTTGTCCGCTATTTTTGGGTAGCATGAAAGAAATTTTGCTTATTAACATTAGCAATGTTTTTAACTGCACCAAATGCACTCCTTCGCTTGTTGCCGTCTACTTTCCCCATGGTCATGCAAATAGAGGACAGAGCCAAGTCCCATGGTGTCAGAAAGGCTAATTGGCCACTCCATGTAATATTTGAACCAATTTTCGGTGATTAATATTCAAAGCCCTTACAATAGAAAAATTCTTTCATACCGGAAAATATATAGTTTATTATTCCTCGTGAAATTTCAGTAGAACGTTTTTATTCTTTCTACGTAATCAAAACCAACAGGGATTCTTTCAGGTTTGCAAAATGTTTGAATCATTCATATTACTCAATACATATGTCATCCAGTCACAGTATATATTTCCTTTGAATAGCTCAACGTGTAGGTAAGAACTTGAATTACGGATTCATTATCCCACTGCCTCTACCACGATTAAATATAGGTGGACATTGCAACCACGTGCGACGTGTTATTCCGATTTAAATATTAAAATAGTAGTGTGAAGATACGGAAGAAGCCTGCTCCTTCATATCTTAATGCCCCTTCTTGCTATTAGCGAAGGCATTGCCTGCTGCCAGAACCCCAAAGATCTATGATCCATGAAATTTTGTACGGACGAGTATTGTCTATTCTTGTGATGATTTGAAATATACAGTCATTAGTCGCTACATATTCCGCCAACAGTCCATTTACGACATTCCGAATTGTTTTAACCCTTACTATACCTTGTTTTATTTATTTAGAACGAAGCCTCACCAAACACCATCAGTTTATTCCCGTCCTTGTCAAAAATAAGGCATATTTCGGACAAGATAAGTAAAAATCTTACCCTTCATATTATATAATAATATAATATGAAGTTCAGAGTTTTGTGAAGCCTAAAGTTGGGTGGCATATGAAAAATATCTAGTTATAGAACAGTACACTAAATATGTTTGACGCCCGATAACCCAAACATTCAAGGAGACAATCTAAAATCTAGTATTTCGCACGCATATACAATATGAACTTTTCTAACCTGAGTATCAGGCCATATTTCCCCTTCCTTAAATGCGGGTGAATAGAAGGGGAAAAAGACTTTCCAGCAGTCTATATCGTCAGACCGTACTGTCATCAACGATTGTGAATACCAAGAAATATACCGCCCAACTTTAGCACCGTACATTCAATTTACCATTATAGGAAATTGGTTGTGATAATACAGAGCAGGGTTCCAATATATTACTTAATCGTAATCACACGCATCACAAAATAACAAAGCGTACACCACGAAGTTGAACAATTCAAAAGCAACGTAGTTGTTTTACATTACGTTGGTGGGGGAGGTGGCGGTGGCGGAAAATTTGTTGGAAGAGGTGGAGGCGGTGGAGTAGCTTGCCCACTTGAAGGTAGAGGTGGACCATGATGAGAAACTGATTTTTCCGCAACGTTCATTGACCGTGGGGGTGGCAATTTTTGCAATCTCTGTGGCCCAGGTGGAGAAGCAAAATCTTCAATTGTCTGAGTTTTCTTCGTTTTATCTACATCATTAGTACGGGCGCTGGATGGTGCTCCAAAAGCTGGCATCTCCGGCCTTGGTTTTGTTGATGACGACGAAGGCCGTCTGTGACGTTCACCACTAGATTTCTTAACATCTAAAGGCGAGCTACTATGTTTATGTAATGATGCTGTTTTATTACCACTTGAGTGAGAATTTGAATGACCGCTTGTAGAATGGCCTGGGTGACTATGGCGCTTGCTCGAGCTATGATGAGGGTGTGTCGAACTATTTCCATGACTTGAACTGCTTCGGGCAGGCAATTTCGGCGAGGAATTATGATGTGCGTGAGAGCTGTGGCTAGAAATGCTTTTGACTGGTATTTTGGGTGAGGAGCTATGATGAGGCTGCCCAGGGTGAGCGCTACCACCTTTTATAAGTAATTTGTGATGTGAACCAGGAGTAGAATGAGAACTCGACTTGGACGACTGATGCGAGCTGTGTTTAGATTGAAATGGTAACCGACCTGAAGAGGCATGTTTTGACTGTGAGCTGTGTGAAGAGCTGGAGTGCATTGTCTTTAGTTTTTTAGTAGGTGTGGACGATTCATCGTGCTCCCGATGTTTATGCTTGGTTCCGGAAACTACTTTGGTATTGTCGTTGTTACCGCTGGAGCTCTTAATACTGGAGCCTTTAGCCTGGTTTTCCGTAGAATTTGATGACAAGCCTGGCATGCTAGCATATTTTGTAGTGAGTGGCTGTAATGGAGGTAACATGACTGTGGACGTTGGTGTTTCCACCACAGCAGCACTGCTAGTAATCGTCAAAGTCGCAGCACTGTGTTTGTTCTCAGAACTTTGTTCATTGGGTTGTTCCGTACTATTATCAACGGCACTTAATGAGGATTCCCTTGGTACCGAATGATCAACTTTCGACGTTTCACGGCTTGATGGTTCTCCTTTGGAGGGCGCCTCGCCCTTTGAGGAAGACCCTTCTTTATACGTTGTTACATCGCCATTTGTGGGAGCAGCATTCTTACCGGGCTTCTCGCCAGCAGTTTTGGGTCGATGACCACCCTAAATAAAACAAACACATAATTTGATTAAAAATATGATGAGAAGTGTATCAGAAGTAATAGTAATACAGTACTCTATTCAGTATGTAGCACAAATACACAGGATAAATCTCTACACGAGTAGAAGAGGCAAAAATCGTAAACAGTATAAAAATTAACATTTCGTTTACCTTGTAAATGGTTACGGTGTTAATCCTTCTCTTCAGTCTGTTAGGGCAGTTCTCAATTATGGTCAAAAATTCTTGACAGATTGCTGTAACATGCATAAATAAGACACCATAGTATCACTGGGACAAAATGTTAAGGTTACGTTTTCCACTGGCATTTATTGGGTCAACCTCGTGCGGATAAGTGATAAAAAGAAATTGCATTTGCAAATGTCTGAATGCCACTAATTTTATGAATTAAATTAATACTTCAGGCTAAAATCAACCCAATTAATCTCAGTGACAAATCGTACTACTAAATAATATTACACACGTCCCACCAGTTAACGCACCTTGAACTTCCGACATCAAGGCTACAGCTCAAAGAGTGTACTAGACACACTTACTGTGTCAAGTTTTGACATTGGACAAACTCAGATCTAGGCACCTGAAAAGAATGCACTAGAAACTTACTGTCCAAACTTTGTTTAGTCACTGTAGGATCCACATATTCCCACCAATCCTTGTTATCACTAGATCGAGGAAACTGAAAAACATACACAACATCAGTGAAACCTTAAAGCCCGGCGCACACTGGAGCTATCAGCTGAGCTGAGCGTCACTCGTGACTGTTGGCGTAAGCAAGTTCCCCCAGTGTGCGGTGGCGTTTTGAGCGATTTCAGCCACGCGTGGCATCGGCACCGAATATTCAACATGTTGAATAATTTCAGTCACGAATGAACATTTCCCCCAAGTGTGCGCGCTCGAAAAGCTATCACCTTTCATTGTAGATCGAGTAGGCATGCGTAATAAAACACAAGACAAAAGGGAAATAATTAATGAGGAATGTGATACTTGAGTAGCGACATATGAATATTCCTCATTAATTATTTTCCTTTTGTCTTATGTTTTATTACACATGCCTATTCGATCTACAATGAAAGGTGATAGCTTTTCGAGCGCGCACACTTGGGGGAAATGTTCATTCGTGACTGAAATTATTCAACATGTTGAATATTCGGTGCCGATGGCACGCGTGGCTGAAATCGCTCAAAACGCCACCGCACACTGGGGGAACTTACTTACGCCAACAGTCACGAGTGACGCTCAGCTCAGCTGATATCTCCAGTGTGCGCCGGGCTTAAAATCGAACATAAAAAACAGCGCGACTGCGTGAAAATTGCTTTTGTCAGGTCGCAATGCCAGGTATTGAGATATTTTTGTTGAATAACAAGGTAAGATTTACACTTGTTTGTACTTTGCATGTGTTATCAATGACTGGTTGTCAGTTGGTTTTATAACCACACAAGAACTTCAGCCTATTGTACTTGCTTTTGTACTGTAGACGTTTTAGTTACACTTTCGTGTCATTTAGTAATTTTCATTTAGATTAATTACCTCCCAGTTTGACCATTTACAAGCCAGATGAATACAAACACATGCGACGACTGAAGGTTTATGTTGAATACAAAAGGGCGTGAGATGAAGACTAAAATGAAAATAATGTTCAGTCAGGTTCATATTTTACACGAATGTAAACATATTGGGTGTTCTGCGTCTTTCTTATTCAGTACATCCATAATAAAATCATGCTTATTGAAACAGTATTAAACTAATATATAATAGATGTTTTCTTACTCTTGCCTATATCTACCGTTATTATTTTAAAACTGGGAGTTTTGGCAATAATTACAATTAAGAATTTGGGTACACAACTAGACATAAACTGTAGTTGTATTGTAAATTGAAAAATCAACAACTACAGTTTTCATCCAATTTTATTTTTAAAAATGTCAAATTGTTACCATTCAAGACAAACCAAAACAACGTTTATTACACTGACCTGAAAGGTCAAGTGTCTTAAATCCCTAAATATCTGGTTTTTTCGTCGTCGAGATATCGAGTTTGCGTTAGCGCATCGCAGGCTCAGTTTCCAGTGTTACAGTCATTCCAGTTTACTATACAGATCAGTTTTCAAGATGGCGACAATTTATTCATTTGTCAACGAATTTTAGCGCGTTTTTCTGTGGATTTTAGATTAATCCTACTCTGCACTTTCTTGGAAGTTGACTGAGTGTTTTTTTCGTGCAACGTCTCTGAAAATGCAATATCTGGATCGATTTTATACGTTTAATACGGATTCACGGAATGTAAACAATGTTGTCTGCGTTAGCGCATCGCATACTCAGAGACCATGTGCATTTATGGATAACGTTTGTATTTGTGAGTAATACTTGGGTTTCAATGGGCATTACGAAAAAACATCTCCTGAGGATCACGCCAAGCTTTTAGCTTTTCACCGTTTCACGCTTTGCGTTTGCGGTTCACCGCGTTTTGTATTCTTGTCTATTGCACACCATAGCACGTGTGTCGTCATTTTCAGGTCAGTGTGAACGCCTGAGCAGGCGTCTTGTTCATGTATACATCATTAACTGCATCTTACAAAGACACGATAATTTGAAAAACATTCAAACGACCTGACCGCGTAGCTCAGTTGGCAGAGCATTGGGCTAGTATTCCAAAGGTCGTAGGTTCGATTCCCACCGTGGCCAGGCATATTTTTCAAGCCTGCCCGGTGTGGATATACACTCAGAGTAACATCACACAAGCATCTTATTCACCTGAGTACATTACACCAACACAGCAAATATCATTCTTCAACACTGTATAAAACAGGTCGTTATATATTACTGTACAAACATGGTTATTCATTTTCATAAGAATTAATCCTGAATGAATCGAAAGTAATCTAAATTCTTTCGGCCCTGAAGATAAACCATTTTAAGAGCCAGTTCTGTGGTCATAACATACGAATATTTACAAGTACATGCAACTGTATAAATGGAATTTAGCAAGCCCAAATTAATTATGGTGAAAATACAAAATTGAGAGATGGCGAAGTAAAATAATACTCAAGTAATTTGGAATACTGACAATTTCTACCCAAAAATCAACTTTGGGCACGTTATGTGCATTATCTATTTCGTTATAATTATTTTATGCATAAAATTAAACCTCCCAAGAGAAATTGTCAGTGACACGTGTTATAAGAGAAAAACAACATAAAAAATAATTTAGCATAAACAACACGCAATTAACACGCACACAATGCACAGTATGACCATATCCTTTACCCTACCTGTTTGTAGCCATGAAATACGAGGTTTGGGCAAGATCCTTGCTTGCTGTTAAATATATGGAACAGTCAGTTGAAGTGAATACTGACAAACAAGCAGTAGCTTACTGTACAGCAAAAACCATTCTCACCTCTAACTAACTGTGTTATTCTAACCACATGTGTATGAGGATGATCCACAGTTAATTCAAACCCTAGTAATTGAAATGTATATTGTACTTTACTTTTTATCAAAATATGTTGGAATTTAACCGTATGGTTCGATTTTATAAAAATACCGATTTTTTTCGGGGTTTTTTCCGCCCCCACCCCGTTTTTTTTGGTTTTCCGGTTTTTCTCCAAAAGTAACATCGAGTTTTTGGGTTTTCAAAAAATATCGGGGTTTTTTCGGTTTACCGAAAAACCGCCTCACCCTAGTTGAAAGTTTTACATTAGCTAGTCTAAATGTTTAATATACGAGTTTGTTGCAAATGAATCAAGTTTTGACATTTACACACGAAAAACTAAAGAGATTTTGTTTGAAATCCGATAACGTCTTCAAAATACCTAAGGTAACGTTTACAACAGGTGGGAAATTTGTCGTCGCTGACCAAAAAATCGCGGGCAGAAACAAAGCTCCATTGCATTTACATTCAAAACAAAGCAGAAAGTTAGCAAGAAGCTGTTTTAGCTGACGATTTTTTGCTTTCCATTCAACGATTTACAAATTAACGGTTATTCTTTTAAAAGTCGATCATGAATTCTTTGTTTTGGGATGATTTTTTTTGTAATCGAGTGATTGGAAGAAGTGAATATGGCGACGTGAACATATGGAAGCAAATACAGTATACGTCGAGCTATGGCTTGCTTAAAACCGTAATAAACGAAGAACAACGTGATACGAGAATGAAATTGTAAGTTGAAATTTATTTTATATGCCTCAAATTTTCCTTCCTATGTTTCTTAATGTAACTTCAGCGGTCTAAGTTCAAAATACAAGCTCGCGAAATTTGACAAATTTTGAAAATATGTAAAAATAGCTTGACTTTGAACTGTATTTTCTTAAAAATAGCCCGTGGCCTCAAAGAAAAACCTTTTCGGCGTTTGTAGGTATCAAACATATCTTCAGGAAAATAGGGGCTCACAATGTTTTAGCTAAGTCTTTGAGACCCAGTTGCTTCGCACGTGTTGTGGTCAAATTTTTGCCAAGAATCAAAGGCCGAAAGGTGAACTTCCTTCATGAAAACCGCGTCGAGAAGAGTCTACTTTAAAATTTAGCTCATAATTTCCATTTCATGAGCATATTTTGGTTACACGTTAAATATTTTTGTACTTGATGAGATTAAAAATTTGTTGTATATTCAAGCCCGACTTCAGTGTAATTTTGGTGATGACCGGAAAAGAAACATGAAGATATTTTAGAAACTGGCCGTGGCCTCACGATAAAACTTTCTAAAAATGTTCTCTGTTTCATGTATTTTTATTTGATATCTTAGGTATAAGCGTAAAAATAGGGGCTCATACAGTTTACAAGGTTATAAAATGCATGACTTGTCTCTATTTTCATGCAAACATGCGAAGTGTTTCGACAGCAAAGTAGCAACTGTTTCAGATCAAATGCACACGGACAGCACACCAGGGACAATGGTAGGGTACTGAAATAGAACATCACTAAAAAATTCTGTATGATTAATTAGATCATGTCCATTTTCAACATAAAACAGTCATTTATTTTGTACCAAACATTTGGCAATATTTACACAATTGCGGCTTTTTGTAAATAATTGCGTGGCTCATTTTGCTCGTGCATGCTCAGACAAATTTCCCACCTGTTAACGTTTACTATCTTGCGTGAGTACTGAGTAGCGTGTTGCATCTTTTTTTACCGTAGTTTCGTATGGTTCACTCGTTTTTTTCGGGTCGTTTTTTTTTGTATAAACCGCCTCACGCTACTTTCAAAATCTGAAATTATAATATGCCATGCAACAAAATACTTTTGGGTAAATTATCAGAGAACTTCAGGAGTTTGTTGTCTAGGCAACAGTAATTTAAAAAGCTGAGGCAGTTTCCAGTGTTACTGTTTAAACTATCTATTGTTTGTTACTGACTCTGAATAAGTAAAAAGCTACAGTACAAAGACCAGAAATTTTGCTCACCTAATGTTTGAAGTAATATACTTTCATTGATGACTAGGTCTTGAGCCTGTTGGAGGTATGTCTGCAACAAATAATTAGAAATTTTGACCAATCAAAATTAACATCTCCATTATGTACACAAGGTACTGCAGTGAGCCCAGGACCTTTGGACCAAGTTTGTAGTTAGTTCAAGTCATTTCCAGGTAACACAGATTCACACAACTGACACCCATGTACTATTCTGCTGGATAAAATTTGTTACCTCGGCTTTATGACACTAAAAAAGCCTGACACACCGACTACATTTCGTAACATAAATATTCGGCCATGGGGACAAATTTCATCATGCAACATTTGTAAAAATCTAGTCATGGGAATAACATGAATCCCTGCAACTTGTCCCATCATAGTAGCAGCTCATGCAATATGTTGCTAAGAGAAAATAAACTTCACATTTAAATTTACTAATCAGAGTCAAATCCCTGCTACAAATCCCTGCAACCAGTTGTCACCTATAGAAATGTCACTCTGTGTGACCTTTCACAACAGAAAATTCCCTGTGACCAACTGTGTGACCTTTTGCAACAGACAAGTCCCTGTGACCAACTGTGACTTGTCACCTTGTGCAACACAACCTTAACTTTCAAAATGTGCAAGCTTATAAGATAACTGTTATCAAATTTTCCACAATTTGCATTTAAGTACACCTACCTCACTTTTTGGATCTAGCTGGTCATTCTTTTGAAGACAGATATTTGCCACTTTGATCACATGTTCCAGTTTTCTGGGCTGTTCCTCCAGTTTAGCAGAAAGAAACAGACAGCATGGAGCAACAGACTAGAGAAAAAATATCTGAACTTAGTTTAAAACTTAGCAGTGAGACAGATAACAAAGTTCATTTCAAGCTGAAACCTGTAAGAAATACAATTTAACCAAACATACTCCTTGTCAGAGCTGTGCGGTTAACCGAAAGATTTGGTCAGTTCGGTTCTTTTCTTAGAACCGGAAGTCGAATGGAAATTCTAAGGAATTTTAAGTTTTGTTCTAATACTACCAAAAAAGGCCCCTATTTGGGCTTTAATTTTAAAAAAGTGGGAACAACATGATTTCCTTTTTGTTAATTTTATTTCAGAATACATGTTTACTTCTCAGATAGTCTATCCCATAATCAATGATTTTGTTTCATTTAACTTGTAATGAGTTATTCAATTCAAAGTGGTATTACAATTTATTGAGCAAATGGTTTCAATTATTTTTCTTTTGAAAGTACCAAAACCAACACCGAACCAGGGTTCTTCCATTCCAAGACTGAAACCAAAACAGAGATGAAATTGGTGTAACTGCACAGCTCTACTCCTTGCAGAGCTGTGTGCCAGAGTACCGGATATTTTGCCGGAGCCGGAAAGCTCAGCAAACAAAATTATGAAACATTATTTCATATTTCAAAGAAACTTTTGGAAATGGAAAAATTAAGTTGAATGATTTGAACTGAGTTACTACTTACTAGAAAGTTTAATTACTTGCTCAGATCCGATTCGTGGTTTCGAAAATTCTGCAAGCGCATTACTATCACTTTTGATACGAAAATCCGCTGACCCCGATGTATTTTACACGACAAAAAAACGCTCAGGTTGATGCAATACTGATGAAAACAGGATTGAACAATGTTTTGCTGCCCACATTGTTCATAGCTGTCAACAATATTGAACAATATTGTTACCCCCGATTCATGCTCAACAGCATTGTTCAATACTGTTGACAAGTGTGAACAACGTGGGCAGCAAAACATTGTTCAGTCCTTGCCGTGTAGGTGAAAGTACCACAGTGCCATGCCAGCATGCGGTTTTACTTTCTGCAAAACATTGTTTATTTAAGCAAGCACCAAAGCACATATATTTGATAAGTAAAGGAGAAAGCTCAAAAAGGAATAAAATAAATTCTGAAATTACACTGAAAACATACTGAAAATATACTTTTGCCTGCTTCCACTTTTAAATATGAAATTCCCTTAACATTTCCTTGCCGGAGCCAGAGTTTTGACTGTTGAAGCCGGACACAGGAGCTAAAATAACCTGAGTTTGCACAGCTCTAACTCCTTGTGCACTCAAGATTTGAGTAATAACCAGATTGCAAGGTATACTGTATATGTTATTTACCGGCTGGGAGGCAAAACAATGCCAACCTAAATCTGACCTAGGTCGGCACATCTTAGCATTTTTAAATATCTGTTTCCATGTCTTGGAGCACTAGTAATCACATATTTATGATTGAAAAGTAACATGACGACTTTTCTTTGGGAGTCTTACCTAAATTATATATAGAATACCCGTCAATTTTTAAACCTTACACTGAAGTGTGTTTAGTTAATCGAACTACGAATCAAATTCAATAACAGCTATCAGCACAAAAAAGATTATTACTTTGGCTGAATTAAGGTCGGCAAAAATTTGCCGACCTGGGAGGTTGATACTGTAGGTCAAAATCAAATAAATAAATAGGTCATTGTCAAATGCCAACCTCGTTTTCGAGGGCTGGGGAGGTCCATACTGAGAAATATGTTCCCGGAGGTCTTAGAAGCGGCCTGAGACCGAAGGACTCTTCTGAGACAGAGGAATTTTTTCAGTAAGGGCTGACCTTAACAGTAAATAACATATTTATTTTTTGCTAATGCTTAATCAACGCTTAATTAAATTTGTAAAAAAATCCATTGTTTGAACTAGATTTGAGATTAGTTGTGTTTGTTACTTTAGTCCTTGAAGCATGGCTTATATATTGCTAAAACAACAACACAATAAAAAGCCTTTATTGTTTATGCAATAAAAGCTTTTCTACTCAACAAGACAATAAAAAGGTAAAGTGATTAAAACTATTTATTTTCCTGATCATTTTAGCATAATAACATGCTTCAAAAACATTCTTTTGACATGCAGCAACACATTGTACTTGCTGGCAACAATTATAAACAATATGACTGAAATAAGTCTATAATTCATGGAAACTGCTGTCCGTAATGTGCGTGAGAGGTCCATATCGTGTGATAGAGACCTCTTGTCAACCAATCAGAAGGCACCATTTACGTTACGGACCTGGGATTATGGACCAGAAAAAAATAAATATGGTTATTGTACTGTATTTGGAAATCAATAGTACAATTACAAAATTAGCTATTAATTATATGTAATCCAGGAATGTTGACATCATTATGCAACAAAATGTTAACCCAAGAAAGAGTAAAATCATCTATCACTTAAACAGATAAATACAGCAATTGCCAAATTGACATGGCCAGGAGCTTTGTACAAATACTCACTAAAGATTTCATAAAAGCTGGACTTCATTACTTTACAATTTAACCCATTAATTAAGCTGCAGAGCTTCCCCATTGACAAGTAAAATCGTCTGGCATAAGACATTTGTCAAGTAAAAAAAAAGTAGGGCACACTGGGGCACATTGTGGCTGAATGGGTTACTAGAGACATTGTCAGATTTTTTGGTTAACCCATTAAGCTGAAGAGCTTCCCCATTGACAAGTAAAATTGCCTGGCATCAGACAAGTAAAAAATAAGTAGGGCGCACTGGGGCGCATGCATTGCGGCTCAATGGGTTAACATATGCAAGTACCATTTTAACCATTCAAATTAAGCGCCACCCTATTACAAATAGTAGGTACATCATATCAGAGCAAAACTTAGCAGGGGTTTCAGAATGATTTGAAGTAGGCATTTGTACCAAAAAAGTAGCCGGCTGTGACTGATAGTTAAAAAATCTTGCTGGGAGGAGGGCGTACCCTCGCATGGAAATTTAAAAAATTTTCGCCACAAATTAACAATCAAATAATATAGAATAAGTAAAAAGACAAAGTACAACTGTTAGCATATTAGATTTAGATGTCATTTGCATTTTTACTTGTAAGTGACAATGTAATTTAATGTGCTACTAGTAGTTTAATTTTTACAGCTGCATGAACAGAATGACAATGTACACTACAGTAATAGTATTAATTTATGAGTCCGAAATCATTAATCAAATGATGTTATACTTATGTACGTAATGAACTTCACTTCATCACTTCTTTCTTTTGCTATGTTTGGTACTATGTATTATAACTTATCTTATTGATCTTGCTTGAATTCAGGGCTTGAATTTTATGGCACTTATACCGTAGAGGGAGAACAAAATGCTGTGGATCATTGCAGGAACGACGGCAATTTTTTGCCGTATTTTATAATTTTTAAACTGTTCACTGTGCATTACTATTTTGATACTTGAATTCAGATGTTGATCAAATCATCCGTAAATTACTATTTTAGTCTCAGTTTTCTTTGAAAAAAAAAACACTAAAGAAATACGTAAACATGTTTCTAGCTTGTCAGCAATCCAAAGTAACAATAAAATTACATTTTTATTGCAGTACTGTAATTTGAAAAAAATGCCATGGAAATTGACAAAATTGCCGTAGACAGCTGTTACATTCTACGGCAATTTTTAACGCCATTGGAGTCGATTAATTTCAGAGAAATTTGAGGCCAACTTGAATTCCAATTGGAACATAACAAACATCGTGTTGGTTCGCTTGTACCTTTGTATATAAAATTTTTCCTGCGACCAGATGAAAAGTAGCCGGCGGTAAAAGTTCAAGTAGCCGGCTTATTCTGAAACCCCTGCATAACACAGCGCTTAACCAAAGCACCTTCTGAAAAATTGTTTGTGATGCCCAGCAACGAAGGAAAATGCTGTGGATACAAGGCAGTGAGAACTCGAGTCCAAAAAGTGAAGCCAAGATGGCAGAAATTGAAGAGCAATCGGAAGTCAGTTCCAGTCCCTATCTATTGTTTTTGTGTACACGGTTAACATGAAGCTGGCAAGAAGTGTGCCACAATTTTGTATTTTGACCTAAATTTTAAAAGAATACTACTATGGTTTTAGGAACTGATAACTTGATTAGTTAGAAAAAATGGAATTCAAGCAGGAAAAAATGGTACCATATTAAAACTGTTCATGACCTTCATAGCTAGACACTGAAGTGAGTAAATACTGTAATGGGTAATGCAAGCATTTGACAGCCTGTTTTAATGGTGTGTAATTCAGTATTTTATTGCATGTTCTGTTGGTATATTCGGCGATTATTTGGGCACTATAAAGTCAAGATTTTCCCTAAATCCACAATCTACGACAAGCCCCTAACACTACACATTTATTTACACTGAAATCACTTAAAATTTATGCAAGATTCAGTCAGATAGCGACATATTTTATAGTGATTTAAAGTACTTTTAAAGGGGCAGATCAACTCTGTTCATCATCACTACTGTTCTACAGTTACATGAACATACAAATGTTTATGAAGTTTATATTTCAAATCAAGTTTAATCATTGAACTTACATTGCGATTCATGTCTGAAAACGAGTGAAACATGTAAAACCTGTGCATGTAGACGATGGCTGTATTGATTGTGAGCTGAGATCTGTTTGTGTAAATTTAACGTCAAGGAAACAACAAAAGACGGTTGAATAAAACTTCAATAAGAATATCTACTAAAATATGACTTAAATTGATAAAATATACTGAAATTTCCCTCAAAATACCGGCTTGTGTCACGAAAACATAGGCAATTTTAAACGAAGGATACACTAGCAAACGCTGCCCCATATCTTGAATTAGGTTGGCAGATTGTTGCCTATAACTTAGCTCTTTCGCGGTATCGATTCCAGAGAGCACAGAAGGCGTTCTTTGCAGCTCTTCTTTAGTAAAATACCAACGATCCTGACCTTCACTGTGAACGAGCGCCATGATGCTTGAATTGGGTCGTTTTGCGCATGCGCGAGCGCTTCGTCGTCTGCGCTTCGGTAAAAGTTTGCAATTTTAGCCAAAATAACAAATAAATCGCATAATATAAAACCATTTAACTGCATCATTAACGGTATTTTGCAGAAAACATTAAATAGCCAGCTATTTCAAAACTCCCCTGGGAGTATTCTAACAAAAACTGGACAGTATGTAAGCATTTATAGACGATAACATATATCTAAAATTTACGGTCACGTGATATTATTGTTTACACTGACTGAGCTATGTTCGCTAAAATACAAGTTCGGCGATAAAAAAGCGAATTAATACTTGCCTTCGAGTCCAACGAGGCTAAAAACTCGTGAAGTTGCAAGGAAAATATACATCAGTCCCCATAGAAGATAAATTTCTTCAAATTCGACCATTGTCAGGAATCTTGACCGATGTTTACTTGTGCCTTCCTTATCTGCTACCCGTGGTATGGCATGCCACCAGCGTTATATCGCTTCGATTCGGGAAGAAACGACCTCCCGAATAAAATCTCATGAAGTGCTATCTTCGACACGGTTTTACCCCAAATATCGCTATGAATGTCAATTTTATACATTTTTGTCGTCTTTTGATGGAAAAAAGCTAGCGAGGGCATTTCAATTTAGTGTTTATAGACCGCAAGATTTCTTCCAACGAGGGAACGATTTCCGAACGGCAACACCATGACCGCCAGCACAGACGGTTTGCTTTTATAAGCAATATCGTACGAGCCTGCGATAATTCCATATTTCAGCGGTGGAAATCGTGAATATTTGCTTCTTCGTGTAAGTGCATGTCAGTAATGTGGAACCACTGATGGAACCCCCAATTCCATCTATTTTGGAAAAGTTTACGGTAATGAGATTTTCGTGAAAATATTGGTAAAAATTTTTGAGATTTTATTAATTCACTATTTTTTGGTAAAAAATAAGTAAGTTGTGTTCGAATTACGGCAACCTCGTTCCCAGACGCGGACGCGACTAAAAAACAGTCGCTTTTAATGGGAGACTCAGTAGTTTTACTTTTTTGCAGTGTTGGTGTTGTGTACTCTGGTGAATATGATGTTTGTGATGTTACTCTGAGTGTATATCCTTTGGAATACTAGCCCAATGCTCTGCCAACTGAGTGTCCCTGGCTTTGTTTACCAACAACAATCCATAGTTTTTACCCGTGATCATGAAGTGAAACTGTGATAATAGCGGCAGTTTTTCGTTACGTCCGCGTAGTAGATTTGGTGTATCTTAAGCTCCCCAATGTTTAAACGCTAAAAATTTTGTTTACTGTTATGGAAGACTTAGCAGTTATGTGTTGTAATTATTATAGAAAGTCTAACGCATTTCAAAAAGACCAAAAAATACCATGACTGAAGGGCCATTCAAAACTACAAAATTTCAGACAAAAGAAATAAGAAACTATATAAAAAGCGCTGTCAGAGTGTGTTCACAGGTCTTACAGATATTTATAGCTTTTACATCACTTGTCACCTTGCCCAGCACCTGCATGTTTCTCTGTGCCTTCATGCAGGCCAACACATGCGCATATGCGGCCTGGGGCCGGTTATATAAAAAAGTGATTAAAGTTAACTATAGTTAGTAGAAACGTCATCCAATAAGAAGCGCGTATTTGAGAGTTAGTTAATCACTATTTAACTACAAAATAGTGATTAAAAAAGTGATTAAGAGTTTTATACAATTACCGGAATTACCGGCCCCTGGTGTGACAATTACAAAATATGTTTTTGATGGTCTTATTAGACGACTGTCTATTTGCTTGGGTAGCCTCGCAGTAGCTCTGAAGAGTGATTATCATTGGCTCGATTTGACAATTGCTTTTGTGTTCAGAACAATGACATTGCTTCGTACTTTAGAAAACCCCCATCCAATTGGAGCCGACCTTCCGAGGCACTGCGAGGCTTCCCGTTTGCTTCCCTAATACAAACTTCATTTACTTTTGTGTGATCCACATATAATTAACAGTATACATTATATTCTGGGAGCAATTACGTGCTTTTTACGTCTTCGTGAAATTAACAAAATTTTACTGTTATGTGAAATGTTTTAAATTAGGCCTACTAAAAATCTAATGTTTACTGTTTTGGGCACCACCCCATCTTGACCCTCATATTATATGTAAATAAAGTAACTCTTGTGATCGTTGTCGAGCCTGTATTCTTGCGAAATCTTCCACATATTGAGATCGACGACTCAATTTCGCACGCCCCGGCCGTTCGCCACACAACAACTTCACCAAGTCATTGCCATGGCCCATGACCACAGTGAATTGTCGGTGCAAAGATCTTTAGGAATGCCATGTCAAGAAAAGATCTTTTTAATTGTATTGACTAGAGTGGAGCAGCCCAATTTGTCAATAAGACGTTCAATTTCAATGTACTTTGAAAAATAGTCCATAACGATGACTTGGTCATGTCCATAGTCATAGAGGATCAACAAGTCGGAAGCCACTTTTGTCCACGGTGCATTATGTGTGTTATGAAGATAGGATAATGCATGATGGGATAATGGAAGACGGATAATGATCGATGCGCTGACCTTTTATGAGTAAACCATTGTTATAAACAATTTCTCCCGGGATACTGTACTAGGGTTTGATTGCTTGAGGAATCATGTCACGTTGTTGTGGCCATCCTTTCAGTCTCAGAGTATATTTCTTGAGTTGTTGCAATAAGTGTTAGAGGATTTCTTTTTGAACACAATCGAGAGGGTTTCTTTTTCGATTTGAACATAATTCCCTTCATATGGTAATAATGCTCGGGATGCGTAGGCAATGGGGAACCATATTGTTTGTCCGCCAAGAAGAGCACCAAGACCACCAGCACTTGCATCTGGCTTCAATCAAGTAGGCATGTTGATGATCACTTCAACTTTCGAGATGTCAGGTTTGATACTTTGATGTCATCAGCAGAAAGGGTATGTCCCTAGAACATAAGGGATTCTGCAGCAGACACATTTGCTTTGGTTGAGCTTTAATCCACTGGCTCGGATAAGCAGGGCCGTGTCGAGCGGTATTTGTTTGGGGGGGGGGGGGGGGGGGTGAATCCAAAAATTTGCAAACCCCTTCCTTTAATTCGAATGCCCCCCTCAAAAAAAATTCTGGAAAATTCAAACTAAGTTAATTATCAATCTAAGTTATTCACAGCAAGTAAACGTCTTTTGAATATGCAGCCAGATAAAGTTCTCCCACCTTATACAAACGCTCTAACACTTGCCAATGAAATGGGCGAGTTTTTTGTACACAAGAACACTTCAATTAGAGCAAAGCTGACTGAAGGTGATCTGTCTGATGTTGAGGGTGATGAAAGAACTGGTGTGTCTATAATGCTGACATTACATTCTCTGAATTCTCGCCATTGCCCGAGGAAGACGTACGCGCAAACTAGCTAGCTTAGCGAATAGTAAATCGTGCGCGCTTGATCCAATTCCATCCGCTATTTTATCAGTATGCTTGGATGAGTTACTCCCAGTGTTAACTAAGATGGTTAACTTATCCCGCTTAGAAACTGGACACTTTGCAAAAAGTGAAGAACGATCTACTTAAGAACATGGATAAAGGACATGTTACACTTCTTGTATTGCTGGATTTGAGTGCTGCCTTCGACACAGTTGATCATACCATCTTGCTGCGGAGATTGCAGTCACTATTAGGCTTGCGTGGTAGCGCGCTTTCCTGGTTCCAATCTTACCTGAGTGGTAGAGCCCAGCGAATCTCGTTTGATGGCACACATTCTGACAAATTTGATTTAGAATGTGATGTTCCGCAAGGGTCATGCTTAGGCCCCGTACTTTTTACGATTTATACCAGCAAGCTGTTCGATATCCTACGTTCGCACCTCCCTTCTGCGCATGCATATGCTGACGACACTCAGTTATATATGTCATTTAAACCATCTGATACCTTGAGTGAATTCGAAGGTAGCTGTTGCTGCGCTGGAGAATTGCGTCCGCGATGTGCGCGCTTGGATGAAAGATAAGATATGCTGTGGTTAAACGATGGCAAGACGGAGTTTCTATTGATTGGCAGTCGTCAGCAGTTAGCTAAAGTGTCCATCGACAGCATCAAGGTTGATGATGCTGATGTTGCACCTGTGTCGCCTGCAAGGAACCTTAAAACTTAATTGGTTTGGCTCACATATAGACATGTCCACTCATATATTTAAGACCTGCAGCAGTGCGTTCTACTATCTCTACAATATTCGATCGTCACATCAGGAAATACCTCTCAAAAGAGCATACTACATAGTCGTTCTCTTCTATGGATAGTTGTTCCCCACACACTGATGTGTCTTAGGAGTTCGCACAACCCAGGGCCACTTTTAAGAATTTGTTAGTGGAGGGGCCATCAAGAGAAAGGGATCCATCCAAGAGGTGGCAGGGACAGCGCTACCGGGGGGGGGGGTGTAAATATCTTTTATGACCTCTGTCCGGCCCCCCATCGAAAATATTTTGGGGAAAATTTTTTTAGGAGTTGGTCAAAATGCTATAGGAAAAGTTGGTCAAGAAAGACGACATCCCCCCCCTCCCCCCCAATGTTGATGCCTTCGCGACGTCCCTGGGAGGTGGTGAACGGGAAACTAGTGGGAACTTGTTTTGCCCAGAAAGTTTGTATTTTTAAGTGTCTGGGACTTGATTTTCGCCATTTTTAGATACAATTTTTTACATAATTTATCCGCTAGATAAAGATTTGGTCATGGGAATATTAAAATACTCTTCTTAACTAAGTTAGTCTTCCCTTTTTTGCATATATTTTAGACAGAAGGGAGTAAGGGACCGTCACTGGGGGGGGGGAGGGGCAACATAGTTCACTGGAGGGGCCAAAACAGGCGCTGGGGGGACAATTAGTCCCCCAGTCAGTCTATGGTTTTAAAAGAGGCCATGGTACAACCTAGTAGATTAGCTATGATTGAGGCAAACTCTGCTTGAAACACTGGCAGAGTGTACAGGGGCGCAAATGCAAGTTTTTTTCAGGGGGGTGTGCGCACAAAGGACCGATTTTTTTCACCAGGGACCGACTTTGCGGCTCGTGTAAACTACATATTATTACGATCTTATAGAATAACGGTAACGCGGTCATTTTTCAATTCTTGTTATTTTAATATATGCAACAACTACAACAACAATATCCTTAGCTGACTGCCTCGTCCCCAGGCGCTAATAAAAAAATTTCATGCAAGTCACTATATATATGAAAGGTTTACATGAAGTAGTGCGTCACGACGAACAATCGCAGGGAGTTATGGGCTTGAGGCATCGAAAAGCTCATATCCCACTCCCCTTTGCGCGCCTATAATGTGACGCACTGCTTCATGTAAGCCTTTCATATAGTGACTCGCATGACATTTTTTTATTAGCGCCTGGGGACGAGGCAGCTACGGATGAGAGTTTTAATTAATTTGAGCTTTGAGAAGCTTCGCTCGCTTGAAGCCCATCGTTACAGGAGCTGTGCGAACAAGTTTCAATTAGCACCGCAATGTGAGTGGAAACAGTTCTTTGAACTATTTCGAACAATAATTCAAAGCATCGTTAATAGTAGCAATGGCTCGAGTGTCTAAACAATCCTTAGTTTGCCATTTGTTTTGGAGACGATGGCCAGAGCGTTGACCCATAATTCATTGGTTTTTCAACTGGTTCAATGATATTGAGGTCAATCATACGTTGAAGTTCCTCTTTGAGTTTTGGTTTTAGAGCCAATTGGACCACGGACTTTAATTTCTTACAGGAACGACCACAGGTTTTACATAATTACATCATCTCTTACTTCGGTGTAATGTGTCCTTCTTTAAACATCCAATTTCTCCAAAACAGTCAAAGAATTCGTACTCAACTTACTCAATAGGGATATGAGATTGATCGAGTTCAATTTGTCACAAGCATTTAATCCTAGAGGATGAGAACAGATCAGAGTCTAAATCTACAACCGCAAACCGTAGTGGAAATTGTCTGATCCCTAGCTATGTGCCTATGTTTGACTCTAACGCGATGCACTTGCCAGCTACAAGAATAGATGTGTCATTATATGCAGAGAGCTTAACTGTTGCTGGTCTGAGCTTTGGTCTAGGTGAGAGCTGTTATAAAGTATACGCTTTGGAACAACGTACATTGCACTGCATGGGCTCCATTGTCAATTTTACTTCAATTGACATTAGTCCCATTCATATCTAGTGCGACAGACCAGTCTGATTTGCCGGGTGTCATTAACTGTGAAGACGTTTGTTGTAGCATTTGCTTGTGATTGATTTTGGAGTCGGAGCTAGTGTTTTTACCGTCGCATGCAGGTGAGAGATTATTATAGTTAGTTGTTACATGTAACTTTAACCATGTCTATGGAAAATTCATGATTTTCAGCATCCATGGAGATGCATCCAAGCAGAAAGTGTTCTGATCATATCAGTAGCATGTTTACTCAGTAACATGTTTCCGTAGGCTCGACAGTTAAGGGCTACGTACTACGTTGGTGGAGCCATTACATTTCATGATCATGTCATTAGTACACACGTAAAAATCTCACAACTTGTCAACAAGATGTGTTCGCAATAGGCTTGTAGCAAGCTTGTCAACAAGTTGTAACAATGTTGTTATTTTATCAACTTGCAAGTGACCTGACCGCGTAGCTTCAGTGTGCAGAGCATTGGGCTTGTATTCCAAAGGTCGTAGGTTCGATTCCCACCGTGGCCAGGCATATTTTCCAAGCTTGCTAGTGGTGTGGATATACACTCAGAACATCACAAGCATCATATTCACCTGAATACATTACACCAACACAGAAAAAAAGTTGCTACAAGCAGGGCCGGATTAACCATATGACAGAAGGGGCTTCTGCCCACGGGCCCCGCGCTTTTAGGGGCCCCGCGCTTTACTCAGTTTTAATTTTTCTGGCGCGTGGCTAGACTAAAAAAGGGCGCCAAAAGCCGCGAGGCCACAAAAGTATTGCCGATTGCCGCGGTCAGTCTTACGATAATGCGAGCAATATGAGCGGAAAATATAATGGCATGCAGGCCATTATCGGCAACAATGTAATCTGGCTGAGTATGTACCCTGCGCCGCACATTCCCTCAATCTGGTTGGTCAGACTGCAGTATAGGTTGTTGCACGCTGGCCATTGGACTCTTCAAGTTCCTTCAAGGACTATACTCCTTCTTTTCTGCTTCACCGCGTCGTTGGAAAGTTCTGATAGATCAACTGTCAAGCGAGGGCCTGCCAACAGTCAAACGCATGTCAGATACTCGCTGGTCAGCACGCGCAGACGCCACAAAGGCTCTAGTCAAGGGCTATGATGAAATTAACGACGCATTGGTAGAAATCGCAGGCGACGAAGAGGAGAAAGCCGAAACCCGAGAGGAAGCTCGTGGACAGTTGCAACCAAAATGAACCAACTCGAAACCGGGATTCTGGCAGCTCTGTGGCATCACATCCTGCATCGTTTTCACGCGAACAGTCAAGCCCTGCAATCAGCCGACCAAGATCTCAACTCCGCAGTTGCAATCTATGAATCACTCATGGATTTTATCGGTAAGCAGCGTGCAAGATTTGAAGAGTTTGAGGCTGAGGGAAAGAAGCTCAGTCAATGTGACCAGTACGTCGGCGAAGAGAAACGAGTGCGCAAGAGAAATCGCCGTTACGACGAGCCAGGACTCTGCGCCGGAAGTGTCGCAGACCCCTGCCAATAAGTTCCGTACGGATACGTTCCTTGTCATAATCGACAAAATTGATGCTGAGTTGCGGAAACGACTGGGCGCATACACCGGAATTGCTGCAAGGTTTGGCTTTCTACGAAAGCTCAAGGACCTTTCAGTTGAAGAAGTAGTCGAAAGTGCGAAGATTCTCCAAGAGGCATACCCGACAGATCTAGAAGCAGTTTGTCTGATGAATTAGTACAGTTTTCTGGTTTTCTCCACACAGATTTTGCTATGAAATCATTGGATCATGTGACTACTGCTTCTGCAACGTCTTCACCAGCTATGAACGATACATCCTCTGATGAATTTGACGACGAAGATGACTTAACGAAAGATGACAACGACGTCACATTGAACGTAGATTCATTGGAATTGCGCATGTACAGGCTTCTTCTGGAGAACAATCTGGAAACTGTATTTCCGAACACTGTAATCGCATTGCGGATCTATCTTAGTCTCATGATCTCGAACTGTTCTGGAGAACGGTCCTTTTCTAAACTTAAGCTAATTAAGAATCAGCTCCGATCATGCATGACACAGAAGCGACTAAAAAGCCTTATTCTACTTAGTATTAAAAGTGATCTTCTGCGTAGCATTGACATGTCGTCGATAATTAACGAGTTTGCTCTTAAAAAATCGCGTAAGCACAACGTTTACAAAGCCTCTGCAGAATGAGATCTTAATAAAAGATATGTTACATCACGTACATTTTACATGCCGAGCATCGCCGCATTGGAGCATGTATATGAAATTTATGAATGTTTAGTCGGTTGACTAGGTTTGACTTTTACTTTATTAAGTTCTCTAATAATTGTTAAATTATTGTTATTGCTATAAGTTGGGTTGTATGACAGTTCAAATTGATGTACATACGTTCTTGTTTTAATGTACAGGCAATTTTTCACATTATGGTATACATATTGATATTTTTTAATTTTTCTGATTTCAGGGAATTCTGAATTCGGGCCCGCCGGGGGGGGGTTGTAGGGGCCCCGCGCTGAAAAAATGCCACGGGCCCCGCGAAAAGTTAATCCGGCCCTGGCTACAAGGTTGTCACTCACAACTTGTTGACAAATTGTTGAATTGCAGGACGATAACAAGTTGTTGGAACAACTTGTAACAAGTTTGTTGAGCTCAACAACCTTGTAGCAAGTTATCAACAAGCCGTTGACAACTGTCAACAAGCTGGGAACAAGCAGTGCGAACACATCCTGTTGACAAGTTGTTGAAACAGCATTGCTACAAGTCTGCTGCAGGTTTGTTACAACTTGTGCGTTTTTACGTGTGTAGACTAGTAACTAGATTGGGGTCTTAGCCTAGGCAGCAGGCTCTATCTTACAAATAGAGCCTGACACAAACCGACTTAATTTTGCGGTCGCTCTCCACCCACAGCAAAGTTTATATTCTGTCAATTTCACATAACTGAACAACAAGTGTAATTATATAAAATTAAAACTTCTAATAATAGTATAATCTAATTGACACTACGACCAATCAAAAGAGAAATTAAATTTTTTACTCAGCTGATAGACCAATCATGTGAAAAGCCGGTTTTGGCTTTTTTTATACATGCGCCCAGACAGGGACTTGTGTCAGGCCCTCTTTCCGGATCCCTTCCATCCACCCGCATTCAATGAAGGGGTAAACAGGGCCTAATACTCAGGCTAATTAAAGTCCCTTGACACAATCCTGGCAAAAATTATGTGGACATCTGACTTTCTAACGCAAATATTATTGAAATTTGTAACGCAAATATCATGAAATTTGTCCTTCCTCCTGCCCCCACTATTTAATGTTGTTTTTCGCAATTAAATTTTAATTAATGATGTAGAAATACATCTAGTTTTGTTTGACGCACGCGGTGTCCACGATAATTTGTGCCAGGATTGCTATAGGTCCTTTGAGTTTTTTGTCTTTTTGATGTCGAACCTAGTTAATGTCTGTCAATTGTTGATGTTTTTCAAGTTCCTTTGCATGACGCTTAGTTTCTTTTGCAGCAATACCGGCACTGAATGGCTTTCGCAAGTGTTAGCTAGGTCTGCATCCGACGTAAGAGTCTTTCACGGACTGGGCCGGCTGCCCACAACGCCGCACAATCAATCATGTTCTTAGAAAGTGAGTCAGTTAAAGTGTCAAATTCACACTCACAGGCTCGTTTTTTAAGTTCTATGACAAAATCATGAAGGGATCGACTGATGTCCTTCATGGTGTCAGGGGCGTAGCCAAGGGGGGGCAAGGGGGGGCGGTCGCCCCCCCCCCAATCGCAAAAAAACTATTCTCTGAAAAAGGCTAAATCCGTAGAGAAATGGGGGGGGGGGGGTACACGTTACATCCTCGAAGCTGAAACGGATTAAGTACGTCTCGACTGAGGAAAACGACGAAATACTGGAAGAACTTGATTTCTAAAATCTCGTTAAAGCAGTTGTAGATATGGTTCCAAGAGGAATAGATTTAGTTTAGATTTACATGTATATGCATTATGATAACATGAATATTCTTCTCAGACTTATTCTGTATCATATATAAAAGCGAGTAGAAACTTAGAAATGTCTGGGAAAATTTATGTCTTCGACGTACTTTATAATCTTCGGGATTCTGCAAGATTTCACCCCCAAAATGCTTGAAATCACATTTCAGGGACTCTAAATTTTAAAATTTTCCCTGGGGTGCATGCCCCCGAACCCCCCTAGAGCGTACTTTATAATCTTCGGAATTCTGCAAGATTTCAGCCCCAAAATGCTTGAAATCACATTTCTAAATTTCAAAATTTTCACGGGGGTGCATGTCCCCGGACCTCCATAGATGGTCTCGCGCCTTCGGCGTTCGCTTCGCCCCCCCCAAAAAAAATGAAGGTCTGGCTACGCCACTGCATGGTGTTTGTAGGTGACGAGTTGATTGCGAAGTCATAGTGATCGTATTTTGGCTTGGATTACAGTACGAACTGAACTTTTCTGGTATACGTACGGTCTTGACTTTCAGGCTGCTTGTCAGTTTCTTGTGGAAAAAAATGTCACAGACAATGACAAAAAGGGAAAGTCCCTGGGAACGAGGTTGATGGACAAATATATACAGTTGGTTATATTTAATACAGGCTATAGTACAGCATCACCAACGTTATCACATCTAAATATGAACAAACTATAGCTGAGGTAATCTTATACTTTATAAGGCTAGTTGGACTCAGGGATAGGCGATTTTTCTTGAATTTGAAAAGACGTAAAAATATTATACTGTATATTCTCACACTTCTGTGTAGGAGTTCACTCATTCGCATCGTCAGGAGGAGAAAATGTCCAACAAAATTGCTGGTGTGAATCATAGGAGTCCCAATAGTTAGTGGTATTAAATAGGCTTAAAAATTATTAAAATAGTTTAAAATTCAATAAATTAAAATTTCATTGCATGTTACCGTGAAAATATTCTACCAACTATTTTGTCTGTTTTTGTAGCCATAGGTGTGAATTTAAACCATGCGATGCGCTCAATCTCCCGGATTCGCAGTGGCGTAGTGACGTATAGAAGTCTTATAAATACATCACTACGCCACTGCGAATCAGTGATGAGCATCGCATGCACATGCATGGTTTAAACTCATTTGGCTACAAAAACAGACAAAAACATTAATTTGGTAGAATATATGAAAATACAATGATGGAAAATGATATAAGACATGAGTCTATAACCAACACTACCAACAGGTGGAAATATTGTTGTCGCTGACCAAATTTATCGCGGACGCTTTCTTTTTGCTAGCAAAAATTGTGAAAACCACAAAAACACAGATTTCGCTAGCAATCACAAAATGTCGCTGTTTTGCATTAAATTTCAAAGCATTTTTAAGTCGGTGCTAAATTTCTTGGCTTTGTAAAAAACGTACGGAAGTGTTAGTATTTTTGGTTTGAATTTCTCATTTTATTGAAGCTATCATGCAGACGACATTTTAATAGGAAGTTTTTTGTTCTGTTTTAGGAATTAGCTGGGGGTAATGGTGATAAAGCTATTTCTAAAGACGCCAGGCTTTACTTTTCGCATAGACCAAATGACTGAAGTTCTTGCTCGAGATGTTTACAGCTTACTGCCACGATCCGTATTTTTCTATAAAGATCAGAGAAATATATGTCTTTATGAGTTATGGCGCCTGGCCATAAAGGCATATATATTTAATGACATATAGTGATATAGGGTCTTAATATTTGCCTTTGGAGCTGACAGATTGCATGCTCTTTTGACCTGAACAAAATGTTATTGTTTCAATGAGGTCAGTCAGTTCAAACACTCCAAATCAACAGACATTCAGTTGCGTTTTCACGTTAAGGCGGATTTCCAGTCCTCGCACGAACTCCTCGCAGTTCGCTGCGACAGTGCCTTTTTTAAAGGATTTTCACTGGGGCAAAACAGGAAAAAAGGCAGAACGAAAAATATGAGCCATTGAGGTTTGGCGAACGCGCGAGTCTGAAAAGAGATTTTGTAAAACTTTAATTTATTAACTTCAGCTATATTTTACTTTAAACAATAACTTCAACTCTTTGTAGCTATAATCGTACAGCTATAACCAGTGGCGTAGCCAAACCTTAATTTTGCGGGGGAGGGCGAACCTTACGCCGACGGCGTGAGACCGTCTAGGAGGGTCCGGGGTCAGGAAAATTATGAAATCTAGGGTCCCTGAATTGCGATTTCATGCATTTTGGGGGTGAAATCTAGCAGAATTCCGAAGATTATAAAGTACATCGAAGACATGAATTTTTCCAGACATTTCTACTCGGAATTAAATAAATTGGAAAAGTCACCTTGAAAAATAGGAGGAGGGGTCAGTGTCACCTTATTTCCTCTCTGTGATGCTGGGGGGGGGGGGAATCCCAATGTGCTTTTGATCAGAAATGTTGCATTTAAATCATTTTAGGTTCTATGAGACACCATTTCCGCATTCTCAAAATTGCGTTGCTTTTTCATACGATACAGAATAAGTCTGAGAAGAAATATTCATGCTATGATGATGCATACATGTATTTAACAGTTAAAAATCTAAACTAAATCTATTCACTTCTTGGAACCATATCTACAACTGCTTTAACGAGATTTCACAAATCAAGTTCCTCCAGTATATCGTCTTTTTCCTCAGTCGAGACGTACTTAATCAGTTTCAGCTTCGAGCATGTAACGTGTACCCCCCCCCCCTCCCCAATTTCTCTACGGATTTAGCCTTTCTGAGAGAATGGTTTTTGTGGCGACTGGGGGAGGGGAGGGGGGCTCTTTATATAACTTGATATTTTTAAGAAAAAAATTTTGCAATAAAACTCCCAAAACAAAACACAACGCCTCTGCAGAGGAGAGTGCTAGGAAATAGTCGCAAGGCTTGGAAAGGCTAGCATTTTATCGGATTGTTTGCATGAAATCTATCGCTATTATGAAATACTCGGTGAAGAACAATATGAATTACACACAAGATGGCTGTGGAGGAGGCTATGGAAGGGCATAATCTCATTATCAAGTAAATCAACTGCAATTCTGACAGCAATCATGAGCAATTCTGCTTCGCACTTCGGGGGCAGAAATGGCTTCACTGGGGGGGGGGATTCTTTCCCTGGGGGCAATTGCCCCCCCCCAGATATATAATTAAAAAGGCACTG